TTTCACGTATCACTTGCATGTTTCCATGCCTGTTGCTCAAGGTTCTAGCAGAGTACGATCTACAGCTGTGCGCCTGTAGTAAAAGAGACTCCTGTGTGCCTGTGTTCCTATACGCTTTAGCGAGGGGATACACGCCCAGGTTACATCTCAGGGGGGGGGGGCGAGGCCTGTCTCTGGCCATGATGACAAGCAAGCCCGAACTTCACCCATTCGCTGTTAAGAAGTATTACTTAGTCTGCAGTGCCTGTAACGGCACCTTTGGAGCTTCAGGCAAAAGAAAAACCAAAGCTAACAACTAATTAGAAATCATGATTATGGACATTCTTCTTAAAGCCCTAAACCCTAAAACCCCTAAACCCTAAACCCTATATCCTAAACCTTAAACCCTAAACCCCCTAAACCCCCTAAGCCCTAAACTGTAAACCCTAAATCCCCTAAACCCTAAACCCTAAAGCTCTGGCCGAGGTGCCATGTTCTCGTAGTGGGTCACCGTCACACCGAGCTCTGCAGAGTACTTCTTGCCGGTCTCTTGGGCATCATAGGGTCCATAGAAGTCCTCGCCATCAATGGTGCTCCTTCGTCGTGTTTATGGTTTTCGGGTGTAGTCATTTGTTAATAAGGTATAATCAGTTGTTTGTTAAAGGGGGTAGGCTTTAGGCCTGAAGAAAACAAGTTATGTTCGAAGGGTTTAGGGTTTAGGGTTTATTGTTTAGGGGAATTCAGGATACGTCAAGAAGAAGCTTCTCAAGAGCAGTTGAGGCGCTTGGTTCCGGCCATGTCGCGCCCGATGATGAAGTGGGTGGCACCGTAATTCTTGCGGATGATCATGTGCTGGATGGCCTCACCAAGACGAGCCGCGAGGGTTCAAACTTGATGGGCCTGGTAACTCTTGTAGCATCAAACTCAAGACATGACTGGAAGCAACCAAGAGACGAAAGTTACACGGACCATTGCGCGCATGACTTCTTGAATCCTACATCCAATCGGAACAGGAACTCAACTCTTTTCCTTTGCACCGCACTCTACACACATGTGGAATTCTACGACAACGTCCCTGAAAACGCGGAGATCCTCGCGAGGTCCAGCCATCTTCATGCTGTATGGCAGGTAGGCCCAGCGGAACCTTCATCGTGCTCGATGTTAGGAACAAGAGTTCGGGGATAGGTTGCAAGTTCCGGATGAAAGATCCAGGTGTTGAGGATTTGGAAACAGCCTCGGAGCAAGCCTAAGCACCTCAATCCCAAGGATCCTGATCTATACAAACGTTGTAGCTGCTAACTAACGCCGTGGCTTGGGAATCCCAGATAAGGCGTTTCGTCGTCACAATAAACCGAGGATGTGAGCTGCTCTCCAAACTTGCTAGAATGATGCGCAGCATGTTGGTCTATAGAGCTTAGGATCGCAGTCGTAATCAGTTGCCCTATACACTCGAATCTCGTCGAGCAGCATGGGATATTCCTTCTCGGTCTCCGTCTTCAGGGCCTCATAGGTCTGGATGCGCACGAGGCCATCGATGTCACCCGGCTGAGTGGGTCCGCAAGTGGGATGGACAAGAAGGATGGAGTCCTTCACATCCTTCCTCGACAGCGTGGTGCTTGCCACTCGCAAAGCAGATAGGATCAGGAAACAGCAACCCTTTTCACACAGGCTTGATTGGAGCTCGCCCGGCCAATGTCCCTCGTAGCGCATCGCACTCGTGGCGAGATGCCCAGCAACCCTAAACACTGAACACCACCAACAGCCTTGAGCCCTGAGCGGAACCTGCATGCAAGCTAGCTTGTCCGTCTCTCTGAAAGCCTTTAGGCTGTCACCTGCAGTGCAAACCCTAGGTAACTACTCAGCTTGGCATGCTGCAAAACTGAAACAAGTTATACACCCCATGCCGAAGTTTGAGCTCGTGCAAACATTTCTGGCGTGTGTCTAAGCATTTACCGCCCTAAGCCATGCCGGAGACTTCAGGGTTCCGCCAGCTCTTGCTTGGAGGATGAGGGATTCCTAGCAAGCAGGGTTATAAGTGGACCTTAACTGTGTTTTGGTCATACGTGCGGATGTGTGTGTGTATATATATATATATGCACACATCTGTATTAACAAAAATATATACATATATGCATACGTGTGTATACACGAATGCAGACGCAAAGATAAGCTAGGTAATAGGTCTTAAGCAGGCATCACCATCATCATCAACAACGTTTAGCGAGTCATCATCATCAGCAACGTTTGGCTACCCGCGTTAGTGTCCCTACGCCCCCTAGAAGTTGCAAGTGCCGGGAACCCACAGAAGAACCAGGGATCTGGGCACAGATCAAGAGCTCAAAGTGAGCTCGGTGGATGGGGTTGCGGTTCTGGAAGGCGACCACCTCCGTGAATTTGGCGTCTTCAGCAGTCTCCGGGCTCTTTGGGTTTGCCAGTGCGTGGCCCTAAGCTCTAAATCCGATAGTTCTTACGCTCTATTCCCCGAAGCCTGTTCCCTAAATCCTATTCCCATTCCCTATTCCCGGCACTGAAAACCGAAGCCTTCCAGCCCCTAATGTGAGGGCCTTAATAATTCGAATAGGGTTTTGCCATTATACTACAATTATAATCAGGAACCGCCAAAATAATGTAGGTAATTCCTTATATTGAAGACCCTCTTTTGCAACTGGCCTGCAGCGACTCCGTCATGCAAAGGCTTTCGGGTTTAGGCAAGATACCCTTAAACCGATTTAGACGCGAAAAGCCGAAACCCGAAACCCAGGCCTTCGGGGTTTGGAGACATCTTGGCTTGAACTACCCGAACCTACTTGTTTGTGTAGGGTCCCTGCGCCAGGGTTATATTACGACAGCCTACACAAAAGTAGGTGTATGGTAGTTTAAACCCTATACCCTAAAGAGTTATAGGCTAGGAAGCTTCCGCGTTCCCACAAACCGAGACTGCCAAAGCCCGCAGCGGAGTAAGGGAAGGATGCCAAGCTGCTCCGAAACCTCCCTCAACATCCTCATCAGGGAATATAGGGTTTAGGGTTTAGGGTATAGCTTACCCATGTAGTCTCCATTGTAGTTCCTTTTTTGGGACCCCGCGGAAGCCCAATCAAACAGCCCTGTCAACCCGCCAGCCACAGACCGCACTATAGAAGGCTAATTAGTAGGTACAAGCATGATTCGTTAAGGTTACTCTGTATACATGTACTATAATATTCCCAAAGAAACGTATTGAAGTTAGTACGGCGTGGGCTTATTATGCATATCACGTGCGTATGTGTACGTGTATGTATGTATGTATGTATGTATGTATGTATGTATGTATGTATGATAGTACTAACACTATGCGGGGCTTTGGTTGGCTTGGTTGCAGAACTCTGTCGCAGCTAGGGATGGCTTGTGGCTCCCAGAAAGCCTCACGGCGTCTCCAAAGCCCGAAACCCGAAGCCCGAAACCCTGAACTTTCGTCCCTAGGGTTTAGGGTTTAGGGGTCTAGGCTTTAGGGTTTAGGGTTTAGGGTACCGGGACCCCGAAGAACCTACCTTTTTTAGGACCTATATGAAGAAATCATAATCAGGAGCCCTAAAAGGAAGGTTTTATAGGGTTAGGGTAGGTGCTTAGGTCTTCAAACCCGAAATTCCCCATCCCCAGCCCTCAAACCCTGAGATCCTTACACCCTGAACCCCAAACCCAAAACCCCACCGAAACCCCCAAACTGTCAGGGTCATGTGTGGACATCTGGCTAGCCAAGAACGAGGTCTCATCTCCGTGATTGGTGTTTAAGAATATCTTCACCTACCAAAAGCTACCTTTTTGTAGGGTCCCTGCAAGATCCATATCAGGGTTTGTAATAAGAACCTACGAAAAAAGTAGGTTATGGTTGTGTAAGGTATTGCTTCATCATAGAAGCAGTCTGAAAAGCAGGGGGTCGAGATATGATCTATACAAACCCTATGTTTAAGAATATTCCTGCATCATATAGCAGGTCTAAGATCAAGGGCGTCCGGATTTGATCTATAAAGCATCTTGCAGCATAGGTCTGGCTATAGTCTCCATTGTAGCTCCTTTTTTGGGGGTTTAACCAAGTTTATATTAAGGATCTTATAAGGTAACACCGAAGAGGAACTACAATGGAGATTATAGGTAGGTACCTGATAGGATCCTACATATATGAAACTGGTTTAACAAAAGGGAACTACAATGGAGACTATAGGGATCCTTATGATGCTGATTTAAAGCGTATATTGCGTAATGAAGAGGCTTTGGAGTCTCTGGGCCTTCATCGCTGGACTTCGGGACAAGATTCCGCAGAGTGAAGAGATAAACACATCGCCAACAAATCAACAACAACTGCAAAGACGGCAACGATCAAAGAGGTGAGGAAGATTCCACAAACCACCTGCTTGTTCTCCGGCAGCGTCGCCCGGACCTCAGCCGGGGTCTGCGTAGGGTAGCCAAACCTCGGCTGCTTTGCAAGCATTCGCAAGAGAGACGCTCAGATGTAGATCCCCTGCCCTACCGCTAACTTTCACTTGTAGCTCCAATGTACTTCCTTTGGTTCAGCACCTCTGTTTTGGTTATAGGATGCTTATCATGGAAATTGCTAGCTCGAACAAGAACTCGGGCATTCCAGAGGCGGAACCATGTGGCTCGTCTGGGTGAGTACGCCTTTGCCTTGACCTTTTACTCATATATATATATATATATATATATAAATACATATATATATATATATATAGATATCGCATCTCCCAAGCGGCTTGGGCAGCTCGAAGCCGTGGATCTTGCCGCCGACGTAATACTTGCCAATCTCCTCCGACAATCAGCCGCGACGGCTGGGCAACGTAAACCTCCAAGCCTTCTGATTCTGTTGGTCCACAGTCCCACACACATTTTGCGCTCAGAGCCTCAAAAGACTTTTGGAGCCTAGTGTTCTGCGTGCTTGCCAACTTACAAATCCATCAAACGACTCAACGAAACCACCACGCAAACAACCTAACAAAACTAATCCAATTCATCCATAATGCGAGCACAATCGAACCGAAAGGCCAATAGAACATAGGCCCACCAACGTGTCACGTTAAGCCTTGGACTTCTCGCTTTCAACCCACAGCACCCCTTCTCATGACCCTCCGCAGTCCCATCACCGCATTCCGAACTGCTGCGCCAAACGAGCCCTAAGCCACGAGTCCCAAATTTGGACTCCGGCACGCTGACCCGGAAATCCTTCCAACTAAATCATTAAACCCAAAACATGCACTAAACCGCACACCTGAACCCCTAAACCCTTTTTTTGAGCAGGGACTGCAATGCACTAAGCCCTGAATCCCCTCAGCCCCTAAACCCTAAACCCTAAACCCTAAATCCCTATAACACTTAAATCTGGCTGAAAAATGGCCCCAAGTTTAAGTCCTGCACCCTGAACCTTACACGTTGCGAACCCTTAGCACTGAACCCTACTAAACTCGGTTTAGGGTCTATTGGGTTTACTCTCTCTCTCTCTCTCTCNNTCTGTCAGCCGCGCGGCCGTCTAACACTTCGTCAGACACCGAAAAGAACCACTACAGCTATTGGGTTTACTAAACCTAAGAACCCTGGACTCCAAAGCCTACCAGCTGCAAAGCCATCAAAGCCCAAAGCTTTTTTCCGGATCAAGGGGTTTAGGGTTTAGGGTTTGGGGTTTTGGGTTTAGGGTTTAGGGTTCAGGGATCAAGGGTACAGAGACCTGGAAGAGGTGCATCCTTACATTCCCTACGATCACTCCTTACAGAAATCAGCTTAAGCGGTTCAGGATACCCCAAACACCTCTTTCCAGGACCCTAAGCTCCTGCACCAGGGAGGCGACGGTGGGATGTTCGAGGCTGCTGGTGCCGTAGCACTCCTTGGCCTCCACCACCTGGGTAACAGCGAAATTTCCACAATCCCTTTGGGGGAACCCACAGGGCCAAATAAGCTTTTACGCGCTTTTTTCATGGTGGTTTACAGGCCTTTCAAGGGTTTACTCGGGTTTGCTTTGTGGGCCGGCCCCACCACAAAGACCTCAACCCTGGGAATCCGAAACAAGAGCCCAAAACTCGCCTTGAAATAAGGACCCCCGCAATTAGATTAGGGTTTGGGGGGTATACTGTAGAATGTCTGTATTCTGGAACCCTTGTAACTTTACATGAAAAGCAAGCTCGCCTTGTTGGGCTTCCAGATGGAAGAAGCCTCGAGGACAGCGACGTTCGTCCCCTTCCACTTCAGCAGCAGCTTGTCCCCCTGCTTGATGCCATCCACCTTCTCGATGCCAGGGTTGCTTTTGCTTCGACAAGCCATGCAGCCCTAAGCTCAAAGACCGAATTCGGAAAACGCTAAAAACCTTATGAGCTTATGAAGCATGATCCAATACCATAAGAGACCCCATAGAAATCTCTAAGACCACTCAATTCTGCCTCCCTCATTTCCTTCGGGTCCGTTGCCAAGCCTCTGGAAGATCAAAGGTCACGGGCAAGCCAAAGAGCTGCTTCTCCGGCAGGCGCATGTCCTTCATGGAATTTTGGCGTGTCACGTGGAGTGTCTAAGACTGAAGGTTTTTGAACGCAGGGATTAAGGGCTTTTAGCTACAAGTTGTCGGTGACTGTGATAACTTCTGGCGCTTTCTAACCTCGTCGAAGACGGACTGGCCAGATACCGTGGGAAGGCCTGGAAGCTTTACAGTTCTACACGATTCGCTCGGCGCAGGCCACGCCTGGCGAAGCAGGGAACCCAAAGGCGGTTCCGAAATCTGGAATGACTTGTCTCACATGTCCAACTGCTGCCCATAAATCAAAAAAAGCATCATGACGACACCGGTGATGTGGCAGAGAGACAAACAAACAGGAAATACAAGACTGCCGGCAAGCTGTTCCTATACGAAAGTGGTAAGGCGGAAAACTCAAGCGAATTACCAGGACGCGGTTGAATTTTCACTCATCATGTAAGCGGTAATCTGTACGTCACCGGACACCGCCACGTATGGCTCCGGGGCGTCTATGGAGGATCTCTGCTGCGCTTCAAGCATATAGGCTGTTGTGTGTGAATAGATAATACCGTGTAGGGAAAACACAGCCTGTATTAGGTAAATGTACCTTGACTCACCCCCAAGAAGGCAGCTCACATGTCAGACGGTCCTTCACCACGGAGTTGTAGGCAGACTCCTCCATGAATCCTGGGTTTCAAGGTCGCTAGGTTATGGGCTTACTGGTAAGTACCGCGTTTTGGTTTCTGCGACGGAAGTACGTGATTACGGCATGGCTTCCTTACTGTGGTAGCTCTTTGGGCTGGCAATACCCGGGATTCACAAAACTTTGCAGAAGTGCTCAATTCGAGAGAGCCTTTCTGCAGGAGCCTTGTAGGGTCCTTCTGTGGGGTTTTATACTAGATTCCCTTATTTTTGTTGCAATCGTCCTTGAGACTGAGCAGAAAACCGAGGCATTAAGGCGTGGCTGAAGATGTTCCACCACGTAACTGCATGCCAGAAAGATGCCAAGGCATTTGGGTTTCGGTTTAGGATTTAGGGTTTTGGGTTTTCTAGGCTTTAGAGATTTAAGGACTCATGGTTTAGGATGTTGGCTTCAAGTGTTTTGCGCTCAAGACGCCGGAAAGGGGGCTGAAGGCGCCGCTGAGCAGGCAGAAGACATCGCATGCCTGGCGAGTTGGCTAAACCCTGAACCCTTCTGCAACCCTAAACCCCTAAGCCCTACTTCCCTCAACCATGAGATCCGTAAGCCCTAAATCCCCTAAACCCTAAATCCCTTAAGGCCCCTAGGACCCCCAAGCCCCCTAGCAAAGCCTGGCGGCGGATCCTGGGCTGTCACAGGCCCATACTGCCAGACTCCAAAGGCTCAGTACACTGGGCTCGTTCCGGTTTAGGGTTTAGGGTTTAGGGTTTAGGGTTTAGGGTTTAGTATTTAGGGTGGGCTTCGGGTTGAGGGCTTGGGGGGTTTAGGGTTTAAGGTTTAGGGTGGGTGCTTTTGCCTCCCACCTAGCTAGGACGAAGCCCGCATTGCACTGTACAGTCTGTGGAATACCTGCAGGGTGGGTTTCAGGTTTAGGGTTTAGGGTGGGGTAGGGTTTAAGGCTTATTTAATTACCATAACGCGGAAGCCATATTAATATGAGTCCTTGTAGATCCCTATTATGGTAGCTTAAAGATTTTTTTCAAAAAGAATCCGGGATACGCAAAGGACCTGAACTACTACAGGATGCCGGATGTCAGGCATACTCCTTGCTGAAGAGGTATTAGAGTCTCCGGGAACCCGGACATAAAATATCCTTACCCATTGCAGCCAAAAAGCAGCACCTCCACAGTGGGTTTAGCAGTTTAGGGTTTAGGGTAGATGAGCTACGCAACATGAGCACGGATCCTGCGCAGTAATCTGTAGTCTCAAACCGAAATCCTGAATACCGAACCCTACACCTTAAATCCTAAAGCCAATGCCCTGTTCCCTAAGGCCTGCATCCTAAGCCCCAAGAATCAAAACCTCGTCTGCAGGGCCTGGCGTTCGTTCAGCTCGATCGCCTTGACGGCGCTGGAGGTGAGGCTCTGGATGGTTGCCGCATCCTTCGGCGATTAAAGGATCGGAGGGCTCAGCAAACAAGGTCATAAGTCTTTAAGTGGTCAGTGACAACTCTGCTCCATCAAAGCCTAAAAACACGAACTGCTGGAATCCTCAACCTCAGGACCCTGCACAAATACGATTTTCAAATCGCTAGCAGGACGACGACTTGACTCCTGCCCCTGCGCCCCCTGACCGTATTACATCGAGTCAGAGTTACTCGGCGCTTGGTGCACCAATACTGCGATTGCTGCGACTGGCATTGTAACTCCAGGTGCATCACAGCGATAAAGAAGCCTAAACTTGCTAGCATGGCTATCTAGGTCTTCACCCCAAACTAATCTCATCCTTCACCGTCAAGTCAACGAGGGATCCGCCGTGCGGAGCACCAGCGAAGGTGGTGCGAGTATGAATACCGCACTCCGTCTTCGCCTGACGCACAACATGATTGCAGCAAGCTGTCCCAAAACTTGCCCAAAGGCTCGGAACCTCCAAAGTCGAAACCTCCACTCCTGCCTTGATGGACCTTTGACCGTGGAACCTCGAAATCAACCCTAAACCCCAAAAGCCTCAGAAACCAAAACCTGAACAACCCTAAACCCCCAAACCCCAAACCCTGAATGATCCTAAGCCCTGAACCCTAAACCCGAACTAAACTCGAGTCTAAACCCTAAATCCTGAACCATCCTGAACCCGAAACCCGAACTAAACCCTAAATCCTACATCCTGAACCCTAAACTCTAAGCCCTAAACCCCAAAACCTATAATCCTAAACCCTGAGCTCTATACTCTAAGCCCCAAACCCCAAAACCCCCCCAAAAAAACCCTCGCCTGGCGCACGAAACGGCCGGCGCGCTCGGACTCATGGGGCTCCACGGGCACGGTAGTGTGCCTGGGCTTCAAAAAGGGATCCTTAAACGGGATCCTTAAAGGGATCCTTAAAGGATTTAGGGTTTTGGGTTGGGGTCCTTTAAACGGGATCCTTACCTAAAGGGATCCTGAGAGGGGATGTATAAGGAATGTAGGGTTTGAAGGGATCCTTGATTAAAGGCATCCTTAAATGGGATCTGCGACATCACTGACCCTCGGAGGACTGTGTATCCGTTATCCCCTGTTCGGGATTTAGGAAGCTATGTTTCTGAGGGCGGCGCATGTCACCGAAAGACTTGAACACGTAGGTGATGGGGGCTGCAGGGCTTCCCTTGATCTCCGCGTCCGTGCATCGCCAGAAGGGCTTTCCCAGATCCACCTGGCAGGGGCCCTCATATAGCACATCGGGAGATTTCTTGATATAAGGTGAATAATATCTGTAGCCCCCAAAGTCCTGTATGGGAAGTGAGCCAGAGACTCGCTTAGGACTCCTTTATCAGGAAAGAGTAGAGGGTCTCATAACGGAATAAACGTCTACACTTCAAAAATCTAATGTCGCTGCAACCGCTCCAGTATCTTAGCGGTTTATGAAGCAACTCCAGAAGACAACCCAGACTCCAGTTCTGTTAGAGTCCCGACTCCTTTGAGTTGTGTCCCCAATACCGCGGCAGCTTGCCTTCCACAGCTAAGTTTTCGGGTTTAGAGTGTTGGTTTGGGGTTCATAGGGCTTATAGGGTTTAGGGCTTACGATTTAGGGCGAGCTGTTTGGATAACTTCCACCTTGGTCCATGGAAGGTCCGGGAGATGGCGGCTGGTCGCCTCGATAGGCGCGTCGCAGCGGAAGGCCCAGTTGTGGCCAGCGTTCACTGGTACACCCTCCTCGTGAGGCTTTCATCGTTCACGAGTTCCAGGACATAAGACGAATCAAACCGGAACACAAAACTTGCCCTAAACCCTACACTGCCCTACACCTTATGTCAGATTTTAGACAAATCAAACCTGAATCCAAAACTGGCCCTAAACTCTACATCTTGTTTTTGACTTATTCAGAACGTTCTTAAATCTTCTTAACAAAACTATCCTCTGAGGTTCTATTTGTGAAGCTACGCTCGAGGGGGACCTCAGCTTTTGGCATCCAGTGGCGCCAAAGCTTGGCACGGTATCGCAACAGAGACACTCTTCGTGATGGTAAGAAACAAACACACATCCCGTAACCCTCTCTCTCCCTGAAATCCAAGTGATTGGGGTGTTCTCAATAGTTTTGTTTGGGTGGTGTTTTGGCTCCGAATTTGTGCCGCTATGCGAGTCTGGGCAATGCGAACCGTCATAAACAAACTTCCTGTGCATGCTACTACATCGCTATAAAGTACCAACCCTGCCATCACGACCAAGGCAGCTGTAAAGGCACAACTCCTTGTCCACATAGTCGATGATGTCCTGCCAGCTGAAGTTCGCCATAGGGTTCAGCGTGCCTGGGACGGTGGCTCCCGAAGTCGAAGCCTTCGAAGCCCTGAGCCTAAGAGTCCTTGGCCCCTCCCTTGGGAGTTAGGAGAAGGGGGACGCTTGGGGATATAGACCTCTCTCAATAAGGTCCCTTTTAAGAGAGCCAGAAGTAGGGTTAAGAAGGGTCCCCTTTAAGGGGTCTCCCTAATACTACGTGCCCATGACTGCTGCCTGCCTCAACACACCCAGCTGCGACCGAGGTGCGCTTCTGATCCTCCCAGACATCCAGCTTGATGCGCTGTGCCGCCTGATCCATGCGGCGACCGGTAATCAAGATGTCCTTCTCACACTCCTCACGCGGAAACATCGGAGACTGAATGGAGCCCCAGACCCTCTGCCTCAAACGCCTTCGGCTCGCAAACGCACTCAAGACTTGCAGGATCTGCATTTCAGGGCACAGCTGCCACCTGCAAGGTTTGTCTTCTCTCTGCGGGCAGACACTCCGAGACTCGAGGATCGTACTTGGAGGTTCATGGGTAGTTATAAGTAGGGTTATAAGTAGGGTAACTATAGTTATAACCTATATTAGGGGACTTATAATTCCACTTATCACTACCCATGAACCTCCAAGTATAGGGTTTAATCGGGTGAGCGCAGGAAGCCGAAACCAGGACACAAATGGACATGAGTGCCGACGTGCCGATGTCCTCCAAAGCGCGCTGGAAAGGCTCCACCTCGGCACTTTCTGGGTTTTGGAACTATAGGACTCGGGCCTCGGCTACGGGTTTGGGTTCCGGAAGCGAAGCCGCCCTCCAGATGAAGTGTAAACGCATAGCTCCACAAAGCTCTAAGGCAAGAGCTTCAACAAGCAGGAAAAACTAGTGCCTGAAGCAGAAACCTGCTAGAACAACCTGCGCTCTTACTGTTGAGGCACCTCCACGCCAGTTCCCGATTCAAGAATTGCACCGGATGACTCTCTGCCGACCTGACGCTACGGGACAATAATATGCACCCAAGATTTACGCCGTAAATTCCCAACGAACTGCAGCCCGAAACTTTCCATTTCGATGCTGCAGGCAAGAAGCCATCGACCCCGACATGCCAGGACCCGAAGCCTTCAAAAGCCACAAGAGCCTGTAGCAGCAGCCGAAACCCTTAGAGAAACTTTATGTTTAGGGTTTAATTGCTTAGTTTTATATTTTGATACAAGGACCCTTATTCAGATCCCTGTCCCCTGTCGCCCACGGTGTGGCCTTGCTCACAAAGTCGAAGTCGGCCGAGTCCAACTCTTCACAGTCGCCGTACTTGGCAATGAACTCATCCTCCGACACTCCGAATCTCGGCTTTGGGCTTTGGGTTTCTGGGTTCTGTTTATTTCCGGGACAAGTCCCTCTCCTACGAAGGCAGATGAAAGTGCGACCCTGGGCAAAGGGGCGGCTCGAACATATGCTGGTTCGGCACATCCGAACACAACATCTTGAGCCGGAGGAATGGAAACTGCATTTTCCCAGCTTGAGGGCTTTATGACTTTATGTCCTTTACGTTCTGGGTTCGGCGCCAGTTTGGAGTTTCATCGAGATGGATTGAGTATTCGGAGCTTTCAGCAGAGCTGAAATGTTTGGGGCTTCTGGGTGGGTTGTGGACACGGCTCCATAGGTCAGACACATGGAATATGTGGGCTTTAGGTTCGGCAGACGTGAACAGTCGTCCTTCGTCGTGATTCCCTTCGGCATCTTCCACATGGCCTGCGCAGCACAAAAGGCCGCAGGACTTGTCAGCTAGACGGCTGATGCGTTCGTCCCCGTCCGAGAACAGCCCCCATCCGAATCACAAACCTGCCCAAGAAACCCGCACAATGCCTAAAACCCTAAACGGCCCTAAACCCTAAACCAAGGCCCTGAAAGCCCTAAACCCTCAACCCTAAAGCCCAAAACCCAAACCGACGAAACCTCGGATTCTCCGCTGAGTCGAATAGCCCTGGCCGGGCCTTCTTGCTCCGACCAGCGCAGAATGACAAAAACACATCCAGAAGGGTTTAGGGTTTAGGGTTTAGGGCATTTGCTATTGCTGTTCTTCTGCTCATTATTCTTAGAAGACACCATTTTGGGAGGGAGGGGCCTTCTTGGCATACTTCTCCTCAACCAGCTTGGCACACTCCAGAGTAGTCGGGAAGAGGTGCAGCGTGTCAATGGCAACGAGATTCATCCCAGTCAAAACCTCCTTAGGTTGTGGTAGCCATTGCATGATGAACTCGAAACCCTACAGGCATCGTCATCCTCAACGAGTATGTTTGGAGTCGAGGTGTAGCGAACTTTGGGGGGTCAATGCAGGCAACTGGGGAATTGAAGCAGGGATGCAAGTTCAAAGGAGTGCCTTTCAGTGCAGATGAACAATGCGCTTTGCCGGATAGGAGTTTGAGTTTGTCGTTTCTACATATGTATTTCATTTGCGGAGAGAGAGGAAGAGGGCGAGAGAGAGAGACACAGAGACAGACAAAGAGAGAGATAGAGAGAGAGGGAGAGCGAGGGAGGGAGAGGGAGGGAGGGAGAGAGGGAGTGAGAGGGCGCACTGTAGAGTGTCAGGAAAACAACACCTCATAAGATGTCCAATGATCTCACTGTTACTTCGGCTGTTTCGGATCAGCTGCATCACCCAAGCTGAGCACAGCGAACGGATCAACACCGGCACCCCTCAAGCCTCAACAGAACCAAAGCTTCGGCCAAGGTTCGGGGAAATGCTTCCGCATGAGTGCGACGAACACGTTGTCAGTGGCAAGCCACGCCGTGGCAAAGACAACCTTCTTTCCTCGGTATCAGAAACTTCTTTTTGGTCGAGCCCTTTGCGGTTTGACCTATCTGAGGGATCCAAGCCGCCAACATATTGTGGAGGGCCACTCTCCCACTGCATGTTGCTGGCACTCGGTTGCATTTTAAATGATTCCTTGCTTCGCTTAGCCTCGAACATCGAAGCTGAAGATGCCACACAAATTAACAGTAAGAGCCCTTTACATCCTAAACCCATGCCTGGCGGCCGTCCGTTGGAAGGTGCAGGTCCACATGCTTACAAAAGTCATCCACCTTGCTCTGCCTTGGCTGCTCGCGAATCCTACTTGGGAAGCT